AGTAGCACTGGTCTTTCATTTTTATATTTTTATGTTGATAAATACTAGGCACAGTTTAAATATGGACAAATTACCTTGAAATTCTAACTTGCTTTTTCAGAGTAAAGTATGGTAGATAGAACTTCTAGGGTATTTTAGAATAGGAAGGGTTAAATGGCATTAAGATGGTTTCTCATTTATGTTGGGGCAAAAAATTTAGGTAAGGATAGAAAGCCATGAATAGTTAAGTTTTTAATATTTGAAGCATGTACATGTAATACAGAATAGCCAGTATTTTAACAAGGTCTTAAAGGGGAATTAATAAAGAAGTGCTAAACCTTTAAGGGATTTTTAATGACTGCCAAAAATTTGTAAATTCAACCCAAACTGTTGTCCTCAATATACTTCAACTTGTCTTTGTTACTCCCTCAGTGGCACCTACTTTTCTCTTTATTGCTTTTAAACCAGTAAAGAAACAAAAGCATTCTATTTGCCTGTACTTGGTCTTATTTTCCTTAGCAGTTTCTCCTGAGACAAAATCATAATGAAAAAGAGAGGCAGAATATATTAAATTTCCCAGAGCATATTAAATTTCTTTTAGTTATATTGCCTTAATTTCCTTTATATCCACTACACATAATTATTTCTAGGTGTTAGCACATGGACACTTGTCAAAGATGGCCTAGATAATATTTGTAATTTTGTTTTATTCTATTGTGTTATCCTATTAATTTGAAGAAACTAATGAAATAGAAAACCTTTAGGCTTTCCTCTGAGGATTGCCTGTCTGCAAGGAATTTTTTTTTTGTGTGTATCATTTTTTTGAATCCTGAGCTAAGTGGGAAGTTTTCCTTTATAGATTTCACAAAATGTTGAATGGACAAACGGACAATTGCTTGAAGAGATGAATAGGTTATTCTCCTTATTCAGAACTTCTACATTTTTCACAAGAGAATTTTATTATTTACAAACTTAGAGCACACAGAACTGTAGACAGACTTTCTGAAGTTGTCAGGGATTTACGTTTGTGGTTAGAACCTTTTTGAAAGTTGGACCCCACTTAGCAAAGCTTTCCTGGGATGGACACCCAGTTTTCTCTCTCCATGAGCCAATAGCTTCATGCTTTGGCATTCCCTGGCTCTTCCCAGCTGCACATGAGAGCTCTTGTCCTGTGATACAGGCTGAAGTGGTGATTCCTCCTTGAGCCTGAAGTGGGCCTCCCAGTGAGGCTGAGCTGGGAACTACAGTTGTTGAAACAATTCCAGAATATAAAGAATCTCTGAAGTTAAAATAGCTCCCTTTACAGTTTAGAATGATCAGAGCAAATCTGGCAAAATGTCTCACAGAACATTCTGTGATAATAGTAACACAATTTTTAAAGCATTTTTGAAACATGAGTTTTACCTGAATTAATGTCTTTCCATTGCCAATCAAGCCTTGATTGCCCTCTATTCATTAGCTTTTGATTTAATTAATAAGATTTGTTATAGAGAATTCTTCAATGTTTTCCTGTAAACAGCTGTACTTTATTGATTCAATTTGAATTTTGTAATTAGTGTAAAGAACTCAAATCAGTGTTTGGAGTATAGGTTTTGAATCTTTTATAAAGTAACTTACATGCACAAGTTAAGCACAAGATAATTATTAGACATAATGTTCACTTTGTTTTTCATAGACTAACAGATTATCTTCTTTTGATTCCTTTAAAAATTGTAGACTAACAGATTATCTTCTTTTGACTCCTTTAAAAATTGACGTTTAGAAAAGTAAGTTAGAATTTCAAGTATTTTACCATTAAAACATATTAAAATATATTCACTAATGGGCAAACATTAGGAAGTTTGTAATGTTATTTCTTCCAAATGTACCATTTTCAAAAGTAAAGCTAGTGATTTAACATTTTTATTAGGGATTTGGCAGTTGGTGAGTGTCTAGACATGTAGAAAAAACTAACTAAGAAAAAGAAAGTCACTGTGACTCAGGTTAAAGAGCAATTTGATAATCAATATGATTCTTAATGGGAAACCAATAAAGCAGTGGGAGAAGAGAGCTGAGGATTTGGAAACATGATGCCTGCAAAAAGGTTAGTTAACAAAGTATTTTATAAATTCTAGGACTTCAAGAAAATACATTTATTGAAAACAAAGAGTCTGCACTTTTAATTTGAGAGTGAAAATAAATACTTAAAACATGATATGACAAATGTTAAAACTTTTGAGATTTCTGAAGTTTTAGAAAACAATTTTTATACTTTATCTTTGAGATAATTTTCTTGGAAGGAAATAACAGTGTAGTGACATTATTAATATTTTTTCAGTGAAATATTTTGAGAGACCATGCCAGGTCATTTATGCTTGGGCCATGTAATAGCTAACAAGACAAAAAAGTTCCTTCACTCCCGGAGCCCATAGTCTAGTATAACTATTAAGGACATTTTTAGTTTCCTATGGTATACTGAATAAAATCTCAATGTCTTTAACTGTAGTAATTACCATAATCATAAGAAAGCATCATTTAGATATTGTAGAATCAAATGCCATGAGCCTGGATCTTGATATTTTATGCACCTAGAGATAGAAAATATAGACACAAATTTTTTATTACCACAAGTATAATGCTTACATTATGAGAGTACTTAAAGGGGCTTCATCTTCAGTTGCATTTAAGGAGTGTTAGCTTAAATGAAGACTTCCTTTTTTCAAAGCATTTTAGGACAATCATAATTTCACAGCCTGAGAGTGTGTTTTAAGTTCACAGCCATGAAGTCCCTGTATGCCAGAAGTAGGTTCCTGGTATGTATTAGTGAACAGTCTCACTGGAAATGGAAAAGCTTTATGGGAAGAAGGTTGTGTGTGTGAGGAGAAAATATCTGTAAATGAGGGGAAAATTCCAAGCAATTCCTGGAATCAGTTACTACCTCCTCAGGGAGCCAATGATGAGCTCAACTGGGCTGAGAAAAATCTGTGCAGATGTCAGCACTGACTGTATCTCAGCCTCAAGCCTCACCAAAGCATTAGAAAGGGCAAACTGAAGACACATGGTAGTCTCCAGTTGAACCCCATGTGCATATTAATTTCTGCCTGCACCTGGGTATGTAAAGCACTGTCAGGATTAGAGAAGTCAAATGTACTCAGCAGAGAGTTGGAGAAGAGAAAAACAGCAGACCTGTCCTTCCAGCTCAAACACAGGAAAAATAAATACAGCTTCTAGTGTTGAGGAGATGGAGCATTGTGGAGCCTTATAATCAGATGTTCTTATCTGATTATTGCAACCCAATAATATAATTCAACAATCATCAATGAAGAGAGCCACTGGGATGGCTGGGTTATGTTAAATTTCTTGGCTTTGTGAATTTCTGTCTGTGCCAGTTTTTTGAACACAAGTGGACCTGTTGGAGATACACACACACACACACACACACACACACACATATACACACATACATACATACATATATATATATATATATATATTTTTTTTTAAACAGACTTTCAAATTATTTATTTCAAGCCAAGGCATTGGGTACTCTGGACTAAGAGTTCTCCTTTGCTGGCTCCTTAATCTCTAGACATCTTTGTTGTAATTTAAATTACAGTGAGAAACTTTTTGATTTATCAGATTAGTTTAACCAAGGGTTGATAATTTAGTATAGGGTAAATGAGGGGGGGTGGGCGTGAATAGGAATATTTACCTTTACTAGAAGGTGTATAAATTGGTACAACTTCAATGTAAGATAATTTTCCAGTATTTTTTAGAATTAGAATTTAGAAATGCATATTTTTTGACCTTGTAATTCTAAATTTAGGATTTTATCTTACAGATATATTTTTACATGGCTGAAATTAGATGTCCAAGAATATTTATTACATGATTGCTTTTTGCTTTGTAGCAAAAAAAAAAAAAATGCAAACAAGTTATATGTTTATCAATAGAGGACTAGGATTAAAATAAGTATATACTATATTCATACCAAAACACCCTGTGGTTTTCAAAAGCAAGAGACTTTTTTCTATGACTTTGTCAGGAAAGCAGCAAAGTATATTAAGTGAAACAATAGAGTGTTCTCTTGTACTCTATATAGCATACTACTATCTGTGTGTGTGTGAACAGTGGTGAGTAGTGACCTCAGAGGACAGGAGCTGGGTATTTCAGGAAAGATGAGACAAGTGTTTACTTTCCATCAAGTACTTTCTTGTATCTTTTTTTTTTTAGTGTGTGCTTGTTTTATCTGTTCTAAGAAAAAAAACATGCTTTGAGGTCTAGTAAAGTTAGAAAGTAGGGTATACAGGAAGATCAATATAGTCATGTCTTTGTTAACAGAATTGACTAGATAAAAAGTTATTTGTCTAGTGCAATCTTACTTTTAATTAGAACTGATACACATTTAGAATGTGTCTGGAAGAACCATCTGTTTTGGATAGGTCTTCTGTAATCTTGTACTAGTAAAATTTCATAACTTTGATTTCGAAGATATACTGCATTATAAACACAACCAGACTAAATGTAACTTCAGGAGGCAATAGTAAAAAGTACAAAGGAAAAAAAGGTGAATAGGTGATGTTGAAAAAGAGAAGAGACAGTCAATATTCTGACCTGGGGGATTGAAGATAAGCTTAATCTGAATATGAAGGTGTTTCAGCAAAAGAAACAAAGAAGTGTTATTGGAGAAACAAAAGAGAAGATGTTTTTTGACTGCTGGATTTTTAATTAATCTAAGAATAAGTGATCAAGGATGATGATTTTGTTATACATTAATTTCATTCTGGAAAGAACATAGAGTGACTCACAGAAGATTTCAGCTAAATCTTGGACTAGGAAAAGTGTGAATATTTAAAGTGTGAATATTTATAATGATGATATAGAGTTCCCAGTGTTACTGAAATTAATCTTGTTGTGGCACTATAATTGAGTCACTGACATTTTCAGTGCTAAAATGCATAAGATATAAATTTTAAAGAAGACAATTAGAACCATAATGGGGACATATTTTCCCTGATTTACTTATCTTTTGTTTTCCCCAGGGTAAATGGGAAACTGGTAGCCTTGAAGGTGATCAGGCTGCAAGAAGAAGAAGGTACACCTTTTACAGCTATCAGGGAAGGTAAGTATTTTCTTTTTTGATATCTTTACTTTTTATTTGCAGGGTGCTGTGGTTGTTTATTACATGATTTTGAATATGCTTAGTTTTAAAATTGTATATTTATGTGTAAATTGAGTTTTAAAAATCAGTGTCTCTTCCAATCACATCAAGCCATGTTAAATAAAATAAGGCTACTGTGTTGTATACTTACCTATGAAGATAAAACCTTCTGTGTATTCATGGTGAGGTTATCACTAAGTGACTGTGGAATGTTGTATATAAGATGTTTCTTTTTTCAAAGTTCCTAAGAAGAATATTAAGGTAACTTTATTCTATATTCACGACTTTTAGGAAAATTTTTTTTAAAATGGGAGGGGTAGGTCATGATATTTTTATTGGACATTTATATTCCTTCAATCCTTTACTATATTTCTGTTGATTTTTGTTATTCATTTATAGATGGTCTTTATATCTTAGGGTTATTTATGCTACCATATTCCATTTTGTTATTTATAAAAATTCCTTTTATAATATTGTTACTTGTCACACACAGCCTTTCAAGTTTTATGAAATAAAATTGGTCTGTCTTTTCCTTTATTGCTTCCTGCATAAAAATGTTCCTCTATTCTCATTAGGGAGAAGTTTTCTGTTCAAGACTTTTTTGTGTTAATAGCTTTTCTTGTACTACATTTTGAAAAGTACAATTTTCTTGACATAAGACTGGTTTAAGACTGGTTTATTTTTGTGTTGAAGAAATCCTACTACTTGTTCTACTGATCCATAACAAGATAAATATCAGTGACTTACTACAAGAGTATAATTAACGTAAATGTAGTCTGTCACTGGTGTGATTTATTTCCCACTCCTATCATTATGAGTTACACTCAATATTTTGAGAAGTCTCTTTTCTTTTTCACTTTCTTATCTCACATTTTCCTTCAGTTTAGTTTGCATCTTTCCTATTTTGCTGAAAATATTCTTGGGAAAATCATCAAGGCCTACTTCTTTGGTCAAACCGAATAGATGCCTCTGTTTTATGTTACCCAGTCTTTTAGCAGATTGCACATAGTTGAACATTCTGTTCTCTGACACCAGATTCCCCAAGTAGATAGTCTTTTTTTTTTTTTTTTTTTTCCCCTGGGTCTGACTCCTTTGCAAAGTTGCAAAGTATTAGGACAGGTAAGGGGGCTTCTTTTCACTTTTACCAGGTGAAATTTGGTAATTTTTTTTTTAATTTCATGAGTTTAAATAGCAACGATATGTTGCTGACCTACACATTCCTCTTTTTAGCTAATCCTTGTGTTTGTTTCCATTCTTATATATTCATCTACCTACTGTATATCTACCAGATTCCAATACTACACAAACAGGGTAAGTACTTCTACCTATTGAGGTTTATTCCAGGGACATGTGATTCATTAACTTTTAAAAATCAATCATTGTATAATAATCATCTTGAACTTGATACATCCAAATGGAGCTTGTGGTCCCTTCATCATAATTCAAACAGTCACTGAGTGATTCTCCTCCTCTAATCCAGCTCATAAATGAGCCATATAATTCTTAAATAGATATCTCAAATATATCTGCTTTCTTTATCTTTACCCTCCAGATGAAAATATCATTGGTTCTTGTTAGCTATTGTAATAACTTCTTAATTGTGTTATTCACTTCTCTTAGCTTCCCAGAATGCTGTTTCTTCTCTTTAACCAGTAGTAAAACAAATCTAAGTCATGTTTTGTCATTCTCATGTTAAGAAACCTCAGTTTTATATAGTCTAGGGTGATTTTTTTTCCTCAAATATGCTAAGAGATTTCCTGTGTGGGAATTGATGCTTTTTCTTCTCTATGGGCACAGTGCTCTTCCTGGGTCTTCTCATTGCCAACTGTCAAGTCAAATGTTCTCTTTTCAAATAAGTTTCCTTTGACCATTATATAAAAAATAGTAGTAGCCTAGCCAACATTTTACCTGTCTTTACTTGCCACGATACCAGTCTATTTATTTCCTTTATGGCTCTTATTGCAATCTAAAATGAGTGAGTTTCATTCTTCTCTACTAGTTTATATCCTTAATGAAGTTAGCAACCTTATCTGATTGTTCACTGTAGTATGTGGGGTACTAATCCAGAGGTGAGCAAGCTACAGGCAGTAACCCCCTGCCAGATACTTTTATTTGAACAGCCACTTCCATTCTTTTATGTATGTTGTAAAGCTGCTTTCTTAGAATCCAAGGTTCATGATCCCTAAAGGCTACATTGTCTTTCCCTGTACAAAGTTTCACAGCCCCTCCTTAAGGAAAGAACAACAATCTCATTTCTTATAAGCCTTCTGAATGTCCTACTGAACATTTTTGCTGATGGGCAACCTATTTATATTGGTCTTAGGGTACAATCAAACTATTTCACACATGAACAAGTATACTCTGCACAGATTTAATATGTACCAAATTTCCCAGGACTAATGCAGTGTCAACTAAAGAAAAATCCTTTTTTTATTTTACTTAAAATATTACTAAAACTGGTTCACTATTTTGGAAAACATAATTATAAATGGCAAACCTACTTACATTATGTAAGTCTTGAAAGTAATGCTCCAGGTCAGGCAATGTTTGTAATGATTGTATTCATGGTGATGCTGTATATAGATGTGAGCTCCACTCCTCGTATCTCTTAGTATAGTTGTACTTAACTATATATTTGAAAACACTGTTTTATTATAAATTGCTTTTTATTTCTTTTCTGCATTTCAATTAAGTGTAAATATATATTTGAAGTCATATATAACACATAAGGTTTCATGCATAGATCCTATTTTCTTTTTCTTTTAAAGAATTATATATTTACGCATATAAGAACTGGGCTGTAGGCCAGAGGTGCAGGATGTGAGATGATTCACCTGAGACAGAGTGGGGAGCAGAATGGGCGGATCCACTAAGTACACTGCTGAGGGAGCAGTGGGTCAGACAGTAGAGGTCTGCTTTGTCATGTGGGTCAGTTCCCTGACTGGGGATCAAATTTGTGCTGCAGTTGCTGAAGATAACTTCATAGTGCTGTGCTTTAATACCTTGCACCAACAGGGAGTCCCAGTCCTATCTTCTGTAAATTTTATTTCATAGTAGTGAAGGCATCTTATAAAGTTCTTACTATATAAAAAAGGTTTGGGTTTGAGGGGGGTTGAAAGCTATTGGCTGAGATTAGCAGTGGGTTCCTGTTGAGGTGTTGTGGGAGACAAGGTTAAGAGTCCTGCTGAAATTATTTATAGTAGACCCTTGTGTGAGGGAGGAGCAGAGGGACAAAGATGTCAGACAAAGAGGATGCAGGAGGACAATAAAATGAGTGGCCGGTTTGCTCCTAGTACATGGTGTGTGCTAAGGAATTAGCCAGTCTACTCTTGCTCTGGTGCCAGCTCAGGAAAGTTAAGAGAAATTTCATATGAAAGGGTCCAGCTATGAAAAGTGGGTCCATCAGTAGGAAATTCAAAAGTAGCAAGTAGGTCAAACTAAAGTTGTTGATAGCCATTTGTTCATTCTGGTCAGCTTAACACAAGTCTGTAGGTCACATTCTAAGTTTGGTTGTAAATGTAGGAACTGTTTCTGGTATGCAGTAGTGTTGTAAAATCCAGGGCACTTAATTGGGACTTGTTCTATGGGTTAGAGAGCCTCTGAAATCTTTGAGTGTATTTGGAAGATTAATTTGACATTATGGTATGATGTAGATTAGATGAAGTACCCAGCTGATAAATCAATCATTCAAAATAGTGCTAATTTGAAATTATGAGGATCTTGGCTTATTAGAAAGCAGTGATGATAAATGATGTTTCGCAAAAGGCAATGTCAGAGCTAGGCAAATTATTGATTATACTTCATTGAGAGAAGTATCAATCAAAAAAAGATGCAGAGAAAGTTTGTAATTGTAGAAAGAATTGCTGTTAACACTTTACAATTTGAAAAGGGCTGTTAACTTAAATTTCACTTCAGTCTTTTGAATTTTTAAAATTGATTTTATAAAATATATGTATTATAAATATGGATTGAGGCTCTGAGAGATCAAATGACTGGTCTGAGGAGTTGCACCTTGCACCTAAGCTGTCTTAGGCACCAAAATGATATACTGACTTTGGGTTTTAAACATTTGAGTTCATTGGGTGTCTATCTAAAAATGTCTTGTTATACAGGAGTGTAGCTCATTAGAGTTTAGTATGGTCCCTTAACAAGTTGAACAAGAATGATTTTGGTGGGAGAAATATTTGAGTAAAATCAGGGAGGTAGGTTGCAACGTAAGTTACTGAGGTGGGAACTCCCCTATGGATATTAAAGTCTAAAATGCTGGGTTTTGATCCTGACTTTGTTGTTCATCATATAAGGCAAGTTACCGACATTATCTTGCTAGGGCACCATAACCAAGCACCACCAACTGTATGGCCAAACCAACAAAAATTTATTGTCTCATACTTCTGAGGGTCAAGGCATGAGTTGCTGCTTCTGGGAACCTTGAGGGAAGGATCTGTTTCAGGTCTCTGTCTTCACAGATCCACTCCCCCACCCCATCCCTGTCTATATACAAATTCCCTTTTCTATAAATACACCAGCCATATTAGATTAGGGACCACCCTTGTTATCTCACTTTAATTTACTTGCCTTTGATAAAACCCTACTTACCTATATGGTCACATTCTGAGATGCTGGATTGAGATTTAAACATGAACTTTGGGAGCACAGTTAAATATATAACAAGACCTATTGGCTTTGGGCCACAGTAACCCTACTTAGAGAAACAGGAGTTAGTTTCTACCACCTCATAGGAACTAGCTTCTGCTTTATTATGGTTTTGATTTTCCAAAGAGTCTTTGAATTTAATTTGAATGCTGTAGAGATCAGGAAGAATTGTTGAGACCTGGAGGAACAGGTTATATAATCATTTCATTTGAATAATTTTGAGGGCCGCCTAATAAAATCAGACTCTTGAATGATATTTAATGGACATAAATGACCTATTGGAAGGGGAAGAACAAAACTCAGAGTCA